ATGGTTCATCGTAGTCCCATGCTAATCACCATGCCATCAGCTGTTGCGACATGATAGCATTTTACTGCTCCAAAATCTTCCACTGAAATGTGATTGGTCGATTTACTGTTGGTTTACTATTGCACCATGCTTGGTGGGCGGAAAATTTAGAGTGCTGACCAATCAGCGACCGGGGCTGTGTGATTGACTCAAATTGGATGTTAGATACAAATTCAGTTTTAGGTACTGCTAAGTGCTAGTTAATAATTACTTATAGGTAATCTGATTTAGAATCGTGTCAATCTCTATGTCGACAATGCAGTACTCAATCAAATTCGGGATTGTGAATAAAGTTTTCGACTATTGCTTAATTAGAGAAACGCTATTGGATGCGACAACCCCATGCTCATTGGCCTGTAACTCAGCGCGAAATTGTTACGTTTTAACGCTATTTAAGGAATTTGTACAGCCTAAACTTGCTTATCCTAACAAGAAATAATTTGTCATTCAACCAATCTATTTTAATGACCACGAATCACAACTCAACAGAAATTCCTCATTACCTCAAAAACACTTGATTTCAGAGTCAAATTTTCATTGGCAGAAGTTATTGATCAATATAAGTTTTATTGATCATTTCAGAGTTCAACTTTACTGGACAACAGGAAATGATATTGCATGCACACCAATATACTACTAAAATCGGTGTACACGGAAGGAACTATAATCTGCGCAAAAATTGATTGAATTGCAGTGCTGCATCAAAATAGCCCAGACTATGCGCTGAAGATTTTCTTGGCCAATCGCCATCGCTACTTGGAAAAAGCGGGCTAATTACGATTTTTTAATAGATGCAACAGCGCAGCCCGATGTTGACGTACGATGACCTTGACGTAGCCAATCACTCGCATCAATAACTTATATGATGATGATTGGTTGAAAATGGCATCACAACTATTTTTCAGGAAATTATTACTAAAAGCAAACAGTTTTGGAGGAGATAACTAGAGCTAGAGAAGCTTCATTGACTTGAGACATCTCTCACGTTTGTTTGCCCAAATCGATACGAGTTTGAGAACAAGTGTACCCGTGCGTTCAATTGGAAGCACGGAGGCGTTGAATCGAAGCACGGAAACCTGCGATGCGAGAGTTAATCTCAGGCTTTTCAAAGTTTGCACACGTGACAACCCAAGTACGAGCATGCGAGTAACTGCCGAAGTGTTACCCTACACTCTTCGCATGTATCTTCTCAAGATTTCAGTCCTACATGATTGGTTGAATTTAAATGCATCAAATTAACCCTTCAGCGGTCAATATCACCTCAGATCATACTACCGGAAGTGGCATCTATCCTGTTGCTTGGTAACGCATTTAAACAACGCAAACAGATGAGCTGAACATGTTCAAATGCCAGTTTTGTATCACTACAATCCTCTTAAACACGAAGTCAGCCCAAGAAAAACACGGGGATGAGCATTTTTGCAGTAGATGCGGTGATTTTTCTCTTATACCTCTGACCAAATTTTGGTGTCCTTTAGTTTGCCTACTGAAAAAGTGTTTTCTTTGTTGCAAATACGAAGCTCTACAAGAAATTGTGGTCAGTGCAAGCAGAATAATTGAATTGGGAGGCTTTTTAAGAAAAGATGTTATCGATAATCCCATTGGTTGAAGGGAGTCAGAGTGGGCGTGTGTGCGGTTGCTGTACGTACAAAGAAGTACGCAGTATCCAGCTATCAGCAAACAGAAATGTAAATATTTGCATTCGGTTGTGTGGTCTGTGTGCGTGTGTGTTTGGAAATAACGCGCACACGGCAACGCAATCACACTTAGCGAGAACTGAAATCTGAGAATTGGGGTGCAGCAGAGCTAATTGCGACTTTGTCGACCAACCACATTCTTGCCCACAGAAGGGAGTAAAAGTAACTTTAAATAACTCGCTGCTTCGCAATACACCAGACTTGAAAGGTTGCTTAGGATGAAAGATATTCGATTTCAAGAAAACAAATAACCATAGACACACAGTTTCTGAAAATTAGGACTTAGGTACCCGATTGTCCAAAACTAGCAATATTGAAATCGAATCCTTGTCAGTTTCATGTACAAACTGTGTCTAAATCCAAGGTGCAGATATCAACTGTCCAAAGTCAAAATTACAAATGTTTGTTTCTATAGATTCCACCAAGTGGCTCAGAGCGTAATCTGGACGAAAATAATTTTCCAGTTGATTAATAGGCTCTACCTTCTCATCTTCCCTTTCCTCCTTCTTACCATCATTAACATCCCTCAGTTCTGAGGTTTTTTGAAGTCGCATCAAGTGATTTTTGGTCCACACAGAAACGGTGCAACTGATCTGTCGTTAGGAGCTCCTAGGCCAATCAAATTCCAGTTGGCGTCAAACACAAGTGCTTAACACGACCAATAGACTCAAGCCTAACTCGCTTTCTCGACGCCTTATTGGTTTAAAGTAATCAATACGCACACTTTATTTCCTTGTGCTGCGTTGCAAAAACGTGCTGTTTTGCATGCATTAAGCTTCCTTTTTTACCTGTCAACCGACATCCAGATTAATTTATAATTCACGTGGAGACGTGATCCACTGTGATGTGCACAAATTGAAATAGGCGCCAAAATTTGATGAGTCACCAACTGGACTGAGAAATTGATCCAACAAAATACAAATGCACCTACTGAGCAATCCACATGATTCCCTGGTCAATATTGCGCCTGATCGAGGTTTAGAGACAAATCGCGTCGACTGCCATCTAAAGCTAACTACGACAAGGTATCACACCGAGGCAGCTAGGGTTTCACCGTTGTGTTGAACACACCGACCTATCGATCACCGACTCACCATCTGCGATTGGATGCGCGACGCCTTAGACAACTGTCCAACCAAATCGCCGAATACTTGGGTGTTGCAGGCTACATATTCAATTCGATTTTAGTTTCATGTGAAAAGTGCACTTAGATTGCTCCAATAAGGAGCTGCCAGCGGATAATCCACACGTGGTAATCAAATATTTACAGGTCAATAGTGCAATTAAGATAGAAAATTTTTTTCTGAAAGTAAGCAAAATGCGAAGTAAATCTGCGGTATGTGAAAATGGGCGCACAAGTAACTTTGTAAATGTTCGCGTAGTATCGAAATGGTATTATTTTAAATAACGGCACTGCTACAAGCATGTTAAGATAAACAACCTAAATAAACAAGAATCTGTATCTTGGTGGACAAGGGAAAATTTCAATTACTCGTAATCCATGTGCTTAAGACATTAGTTAAACAAGAAACGCACCGTTGTCTGACGGCAATGTGTGCCGCTACTCCAGACTCAGAAGATTATTCTAGCGTGTCTTTGGCAGTTGTTATGGTAATTTCACCATGGATGACATCAGCCTGTAAGAGTGTAGCACTGTGAGCTCTCTCGTCCCTCATTGGTTGCTGGCGGTGCAGCTGCACGCAAAGCCTGGGGCTGACTAAATTACTCGTTTCTCATTGGTCAAGAGGGTACGCACGCGTTTACAACAATATTAGAAGCACACAATGCAATCGCCGACCAAATTAATTATTCTAAAATTTGTGATAGATTGAACTTGATTCCAAGGCAAACACTTCACTACGTTCTAGCTGCGGTGAGGCTGTGATTGTATTTGCCGAAAAATTTGACTAATTGAAGGATTGTATTTTGATTTTCTGCAACTGCTCAAAAGAGCGAGACTGAAACCTATTTAAAAATGTGCTTTTTACTATGAACGACAGACTAACAAACCCGACTAACGGCAAAGTTGTGAGGATTTAGTATCAAAACAAAGATTACGCATGTTAACTCCAATCAATGGCAAGTTGAAGCATACTATCGGCTGCATTTCCGTTTTGCGAGATGTTGTAAATCGTGTTTATGCACACTACTTAATCCAGTTGCTCCAGCCTCGGACACAGGGTTCCCCTTTTCGCAGTATGTCGCCAGCAGCACTGATCCTCAACTCCCCCTCACTCGCATGAATTGTTATCTTGGATTATCCTCACACCTAGGTCTCGATGTTAGCGCATTTATGACTCACACATCCGAGATATTAATTCAAACGTGCAAACCCCACGCACGACACAACAACACCAACGTGTTTGAGCTCTGGAGTAAATGGCTGTGTCCACGTCCTCTCCGATCTTTTTCTTCATCTCAGGAATCAGGCAAGCGTAATCGGGCCAGGGTTAATTCCGTGGCCCCGGCGTGGTTCAAGATCACAACAGACGTATTAATTTTGGTATGGCAAAGACATTTGGATACCTACAGTTATACAGCCACTAAACACACACACACACACACGTAGTCACATCAAAGTGCTAATGAAAAATCGCGACCTTCAAGTAACAACTACGACTAAACAGCTGATGATTTCCGAGGTGGCGTCACCCTCCATAGGCCACCTCAAGGTCAAACCAGCCCGGCAAAACAAATACAACTGTCTCAGAGCGGCGAAAACAGTTACGTTTGTTTGAAAAAATCTCCAACGGCATTACAAGACCCCTTACGGTGGACTAAAGAAGCGTTTTATCCGTTAACATGTCAAGGATTTGCATCAGGGGCGGATGAAATACGGTTTAATTTCCAGAAAGCGTACGTGTGTGGAAATCCGCGGAGGAGTGGGCGTTCACTACCACAAAAGTTGTGATAAAAACGAGCATCCAGTGGGAACACACAGGGTAACGACATCGCGCAAGAGCGGTTTAAGTGGTTCCTGATGCATAAAGTTGAATCAGTCGATGACTGGGGTTAAACAAGAGCACGTGACACACTAAAATAAGGTACGTGGCGTGCTGTGGGGAGGCTTAACCCACAGGACCAAACAACATTTCCTACTTAATACGCGTAAGTAACATTTGCGCAACAGAGCTGAACATTTACACGCACAACGAGCGTGCTAAACTAATGACACATTACATTCAAAAAGAGACAGAGCGGGCCGACCGAATGCAGGAGAGAAGACACACTGAGGAATGGAGATTAATTTAAAAGCAAAACAGTCTAGAGGTAAAGTCCTTCAGGTGTACCCTCACTCTTCCGGTAGAGCACATTCTCCTTCGCTTTTTCAAAGTCCTCGTTCGTGACCTTCATTCGGCGTTCACGGAGCGCTAATAGGCCAGCTTCGGTGCACATAGCCTGAAAACAAAACGGAGTTGACCGATGAGAACATAAGACACCAAAATCGACGGCTTGTACAAGCACTAAAAACCTACTTTAATATCAGCCCCGGAGAGCTCATCTTTGGAGGTGACATAGTTTTCCAGGTTGACATCTTCCGCCAACGTCATGCGACTCGTGTGAATGGTGAAAATACGCCGTTTCGTCTTCTCATCGGGCAGAGGGAACTCGATTTTCCGATCAATGCGGCCAGGTCTGATGAGTGCTGGATCCAAGGTTTCAATGCGGTTCGTCGCCATGATGACTTTGACATCACCACGAGAGTCGAAGCCATCCAATTGGTTAAGCAGTTCCAGCATAGTTCGTTGGATTTCGCGTTCACCACCAGAGTTAGAGTCGTAGCGCTTTGTGCCAACAGCGTCGATTTCGTCGATGAAGACAATGCTAGGCGCGTTCTCCTCAGCAAGCCTGAAGAGTTCGCGTACAAGTTTTGGCCCGTCGCCGAGGTACTTCTGGATAAGTTCTGAACCCACGACGCGAAGAAACGTGGCGGAGGTTTGATTGGCAACGGCTTTCGCCAAGAGGGTTTTGCCTAGAAGGGAAAATATATTGTTCAGGGGTTTACAAATCTAGCACAAAGTGAAAAGCTAACAGGTAGCTTAAAATGACAATACCAGTTCCAGGAGGCCCATAGAGAATAACGCCCTTGGGGGGTTTAATGCCCATTTCTTCGTACAGTTCAGAATGGGTTAGTGGAAGCTCAACGGATTCCTTGATTTCCTGGATTTGCGCATCAAGTCCACCGATGTCGGCATAGGTTTCTTGAGGGGCTTTCTCCAGTTTCATAACAGTCACCATTGGGTCAGTATCATCGGTGAGGACTCCAACCACAGCATGAACCTAGACGATCGAATACAATGAAAAATGAAATACTTTGTGGTTTAGCAGAACGGAACATCCCGGCTCCAACATCCCCTTGTCAACGAAAGACAGGATGCTCACGTAGTGCTCACTCCCGACTGAGGTAGACACGATAACATGGTTATCATCGATAATTTCCTCAAGAGTGCCAACGGACATTGGTGTACCTCTAAGGTCATCAACCTTCGATCTTTCTTCCTGGGACACTCGTGTGAGTAACGCAAACGTACTTCGTTCTTCTCTTCATCTGTCTTTAGACGTTCCTGATTCTTAATAAATTCCTCTTCCATTAGTAAGTAGTCCTTAATTCGCTCAAGTTTTAATAGGCGAAGTTTGCATCTTGTGTGCGGTGTAACCTGGGGAAGCTTGTTTGCGGTGTCAGGGCCTTTGGATCGTTTGTGTTTCCCCATTCGCGTGGGAATAGGCGGTTCGTACTCCCTCTTTTTACCCTAACAGGCATAATTTAAAAAAAAGGAAGCGTACTTTTCCATTTTTCTTCCCGTCTTCTTGGCTAGATTGCTTTTGACCCTTAAAGAAAAGTTAGTTAATGTCACAAACCCACCATCCCTGAATCACAACAACTAAATGTCCCCCAAATAAGCTAAATACGAAAATGGACCAATGAAAACATAGGTGACAAAATTTCAAGTTAGTGAGGAAATCAGAGCAACATAAGACTAGAAAAATACTATTAAAAATGCGCTTTTACAGCGTCTTATTTTCTACCAAAAAAAGATTTTGTAATAAATATGGCAGCTTGATTAAATATGCATTAATTCCTTATCTCAAAATCAAATAATTGCAAATTTAGGGTGACAAAAAAATCCTAACTGATATTTAGAATAAGTTTTACGTGCTTATGTAAAAAAATTTACAGGAAGATGCAATCAGAACACTTCATTTGGATTTTTTCGATGGTTTCTACCTAAGTTTCAAAGCACGAGACGAAAACTTAAGTGTCTGAACTGCATGTATTTTATGGATATTTTTCCTGTTTATTTAAAGTGAAGAAAATGATTAAGCTTAAGTCTAGGGGCCTTGCAGTAATACTAGATTTTTGCGCTTCAGGCAGTCTTGATAGCTAAAGAATTATTAGAAACACCAAAAATTATTTGAGAAATGATATTCAAATAGAGGCATTTTAAGTAAAATATAATGCAGCGTTAACTTAACGTCATTCGCTTCCGTCAATTAACCATGTACTAAAACCAAGAATTACCAGCAAAAAACCCGCGAACATGCACATTATACTGGAAAATATCACAAGGCGTTAAACCGTTTATCCCAGATGCTTCGGAGATCCGTGAATAGAATTGCAAGCTCTATGAATTCTTATATCTCAGCGTTATTCAGCAACTAATTTGCAGCCTATTTCCTGATACATAACCACAAGGGTTCAACAAAGTTTAATTTTATTGCACACACTGTTAAAGTTGCGTGCAGTTATTTTGCTTAAATTGCTAAGACCTCCGAAAAATCAAGCCCTCTTTAACGCATACTTTGATTATGAACGAATAGGGCTTAAGAACCACGGAAAACTAATTGCATGACTTCAATTGAGGTGCCTTTTCATTTCATGCAATTTCGAATGCATTTATTTACTAACTTAGAGTCATGGCGTTGCAAAATTTCAATTTAGCTAGTCTATTTATTACCAAAAATATTTAAAAGGTTACTTGAAGGCATTCACATTTAAGGACAGTAAACGGCAAAATAAAAAAAGACGTTCTAAATTTTTTCCGATGAATTTAGGTTAATTGTACGTTACCGCTGTCGATAGTATATCAAACATACGAATAATGCAAACCTATCAAAAGCAATTCTTTTTGATATAAGAACAAAACCTAAATTAATTTTGAATGACAAATGAATTTTTTTTTAACAAAGGCGAACCTTTAAAAGTGCATTTTGTTCAGCAAATCGAGTTATTCACTTCAATGAATTCCGTCGGCCTTTGCCCCGTCAAAAACAACAGTGTTCCACAAGGAGTCTGCCAATTTTAATAAACTTTATAATTAAATATTCGAATTCGTGTATCGTAATTTGCGTTTTAGCTGACCACTGAGGTAATTTTACTTCAGAAAGTTAACCAAAAACGTAATGGCCAACAACTACTTTAGGCATATATTACCTTGAAAATGTACAACAACAGGAAGCCGTGTTATGCAGTGTTGTGACTTCGCAATCTTCGGATTTTCAGGTATTTCAAACCATTCGTACAGCGTTTTTAAGACAATAAAACGTAATAGTGTAATATGGTTTCGGACAACATGGGGAAATCTTCAAGTCAAACTCCCAACTGATAAAATACTAAAAATATTTGGTATTTTTGTCGTTCACTTACATTTTACTTCGCAGCTTTGTAAAACGAAGCTCCAATCTTGACACATTTTAATAAAAGACAATGAGGTAACAATTTTAAATTGAGGATTTGTAGAATTCAAGGAAAATGCGAATTTATATCCTTAAAATTAATCACGTTCGCTTGATCCATTGTTCAATTTTGCAGTTATTTAGAAGTTTATATGATACAGATGTCTATGTATATATACCGTAAATATCTAAAACAAGTAACAATTTTTTGGTAGTGTTTCGACTATTTAAAAAATCCATAACGCCACCGCGCAAACTGACTGTACGACCTCACTGGTTATTGGTCAATGCCATCGGCCGGATCATGCAAACTAAATTCACAAGGGCAATCGACGAAATTAGAAAAAAATTCCCCGGCCTAGATCCTGACGTCGATGCGTACCTTGAAGGTTTTTATACTTTAGCTATTTTTACCATTTTAGGCATAATAACCGAGAACGGTGATCATTTTGAGTCACCTGATGAAGTGTATGAAGCTGTCGGAAGTTTCCTTGAAGAAACGGCCGAGGGCTGCAGTCTTTCAGATATTCGGCAGTGCTGTACACGAATTTTCGAAATACTGCACCCGTAGGTTTTCGTTGTGAAGTCACACAATGTTAAATTTTGCTAGCAGATTTTGGAGACACCAATCCTTATAAAAGAAAGCTTTGACTAGTGTAGCCAGCACCAGTCTCCTAGTTTATTCCTTTTATATCTAATCAGGAGCTTCTGAAATATCGCTCCACTTTCTTGTCAAATCAAAATTACAAGCAATAAATATTCTTTAGCCAATATGCCTTCCTATAATGCGTTGTCAAATTTATTTTGTCAGTTTTCTTCTTAAATTAGGTTTTTTTATGCATCAAAATTTTAAAATTCCCTAATCTGCTTGAATATTATGCGAAATGTGGCCTTTCCGGTCGTACTTGGTGCTCGAAGATGCAAAACAACGATGGACGGTATGGATTACATTCATAGTATCTTAGAGTTCACCACGATTGGTCGGATTGCGTTAGAAAGACATGAAGTTATATTCTTCCATCTAAATTCTTTTACTTTCACCTGAAATTGTTTTGGTGAGTTCAGTCTAAGTATTTTAACTTCCTACAAACCAACTAAATGCTCGTTCCCATGACAATCTGACTACTTTTCTGAAGCACTGGTATTAACTTGTTCTGACGATCTTTCCAACTTCAATCTCAAGAAATGGCAATTTGGCCTCTCAAGTAGAACTAGATGAGCCTGTTCACCTTGCATCACTAGTCAACAACTTCAATCAGCGTGTCATCGACACCTCGAGTATTTGGATGGCCAGACGTGAGATACCAACCGTGAGTGCGTGTCTAATGTGTTCCTTTTATTCTCTATTAGTCGTATTGTGTCACCACTTATTGCATCGCTTGTAGACTGTCGATCAGAGGAAACTTGCCAAAGCTGAGGCACGCTCCCGCGAGAAACAGGCCAAGAAAAACCAAAGTGCCGGCTCCTCTGCGTAAGTACAGGCATTTGTTGTATTTGCTGTTTCCTTTAGCACAAGCCTTTACGAGCTGGACACAGCTAGTGTTAGCCAGCAGTCTGATAAAAGGGAGAAGCTCTCTTCGGACGGAAATGCCAAGAAACTTACTGACCTACACATCGAGAATTTTGACATCTCCTTCGGCAGCAGGTGATTTGTCCGTTAAAATAAACTCCCCACAGAGTCCTCCTGCAGAACGCAAGCCTCCACCTAGCTCTGGGGCGACGCTACGGTCTCATTGGACGCAACGGCTACGGCAAAACCACCCTGCTACGCTCACTGGCCAAGTAAGTCTACCCTTCGCATGTCATGTCCTCTTCTGCGTCATCTGGTTACTTTCTCACCCTGGTTTATTTTTGGACTAGTGGCGACTTACGACTGCCCCAGGGATTGACTGTTTTGCACGTGGAACAAGAGGTGATTGGGGACAAGACACCGGCAATTGAAAGTGTACTGGAAGCGGACAAGGAGCGCGCGAGTCTGCTAGCCCAGTTGGCCAAACTGAAGGCTGCCACTGACCCGGACGCAGTCTCCGAGCAGCTTGGCGACGTCTTCAACAAACTAGTGGCCATCGACGCCGACAGCGCGCCAGCCAGAGCTGCTGCAATCCTTCATGGTCTTGGGTTCGACCCCGAGATGCAGGTGAGTGTTGCCTTCGGCCCGTAGCATTTTGGTGTCGTTCTTTGTCACAGTTTTGTTTCTGCTTTCCTCAAGAAACGTCCTACGGAGGAATTTTCCGGTGGTTGGCGAATGCGTCTGGCATTGGCTCGGGCTTTGTTTGCCAAACCAGACCTCCTGTTGCTTGACGAACCGACCAACATGTTAGATATGCGCGCTATAATCTGGCTCGAGGGCTATGTTCAGGTGAATCTTGTTCTTTGTTCTCCCAGCCACCTACACGTCTAGACCTAAGCACGTGGCGTTTTTTTTGCGGTAAACCACTCCTGGGAGTCGTGTTTTAGTGTTTTCTTTGCTTCGTGTTTAAAACGCAGTCCTGGGCGGGAATTATGATTGTGGTTTCGCACGACCAAGACTTCCTCAACGCCATCGCCACCGACATCATCCACTTGACGGCGAAACGACTGGACAGTTACCGTGGCACCTACGACAACTTCGTGAAGGCCCGGGAAGAACGCCTTCTCAACGAGGAACGCGAGTACCTCGCACAGAAGGCTGAACGCGAGCACATACAGGTAAGTCTTATCTGATTGGCTGGATGACACTTGTACCGAAGCCAATCACTGACTCCCGCAGTAGCCAATGAAAACAGTTAGCTGTTTTTTGTTGTTGTTTTAACAGCAATTCATCGACACGTTCCGCTTCAACGCGAAACGCGCCTCCCTCGTGCAAAGTCGCATCAAGGCGCTCGAGCGAATGCCGAAACTGACGCCTCCGGAGAAGGTCACTAAGGTGGTCTTTAAGTTGCCCGAGTGCGACAAGATCCTCCAGCCCTTGGTCCAACTCGACGAGGTGGCGTTTCACTACGTGCCCGGCGCACCCATCCTGGAACACGTCGATCTCACCATCATGCACACCTCAAGGATCTGCATTGTACGTCCACGTAAATTCTGTCCAAATCCATCCTATTGGTTATTTTTCGCCATGTTATTGGCCAACTCAAGGTCGTATGACGATGCTGACAGCGACATCACCTGGTGGTATATGGAACCAAGACATTTGAGGGCAGCCTAAGCTACCATCACACGAGGAGACATTGTCGATGCCATGACACCCAAGGTCGCAAGGCTATTGATCGATGGCGGTTGATAGAACCAAGACATTTAGGGGCCGCCTACGCTACCATCACACGGGAATGACCTTGTCACTACCATGACACCCAAGGTCGCGTCGCTATTGGTCGGTCTGTCTTGTAGGTGGGAGAAAACGGAGCAGGCAAATCTACCCTCCTTCGATTAGTGCTGGGCGACTTAACACCGACGAAGGGCCTGCGTCACACCCACCGGTCTCTTCGCACGGCCTACTTTTCACAACACCACGTCGACCAATTGGATCTCAACGTGTCTAGTTTGGAGTTTCTTGTGAAAAAGTTCCCCGGTAGGTTTGAATTCAATACGGTTGATTTGATTATTTATAGGCGAATCTGAGCAGCGCTATAGGAGTCAACTGGCGTCATTTGAAATTGGCGCTCTACTCGCTCAGCAGCCAATCGGAAGCCTTTCAGGGGGCCAGAAGTCGCGTGTTGCCTTCGCTGCCATCTGCATGTCCAAGTACGCATCGTCGAGACGATAACGAACACCCTACTTACAGATTGTCAGTAACTGTTATTATCTTGTTTTTGCTTACAGACCTAATCTCCTAATTCTTGACGAACCTACTAACCATCTGGACATTGAAACAATCGGCGCTTTGGCCGAGTCGTTGAAAACCTTCAATGGTGGAGTACTGCTGGTTTCCCATGACGAGCGTCTCATCTCGTCTGTGTGTACCGAGTGCTGGGTGTGCACGCGTTACCCCTTTGGCGGTCAAAAGGCTGCAGTTGGGGCCAGTCGTGTCTTCATTCTACAAGGTGGTCTGGATGAGTACAAGAAGGCTGTGCGCGCGCAACTTGAGGCTTCTTCCATCTCCAATCGATAATTCACTGCTCTTGAGCCTGATATAAACGCCTTGGTGCAGTTTTAAACCTTTTACATAAACCGTCTACTTAATTGATGTTAGTAGTAATTGTGATTGTGCCTTCAAAATTTCAGGATCAGGCATGGTATCACATCTAGTGTCATATTTACACGAGTTGTTGGGAGGGTGGTTTTCGTCATGTGACGTTAACCTTAAAAATGAGTACGAATATGCAAAAAAAGACAGAAAACGGAGTAAGTAGAAAAAGCTAAATGAGTAAAGTTAGTGATTGCTCTAAATTTTGGATTCAGGCTGTACACAATGGGTCATAAAAGCACGTGATGTGGGGAGGAGGAGAAGGAGGAGGGGTGATAAAATATCGATTGAAATCGGATCTTCTCTCAAAGTCCCTGGGTGCACTTCCACTTTTCCTCGTCTTCACGCTTCGCCTCGGGTCGTAGTTGATTTCTCAAGCCACCGAGAATGTTTGCTGTTGCCTAGGGAGGCAAAAATCAATCAGTGCGCACAGGCGAGTGGTTTAAATGAAGCAACCTGGCTCCAGCCAATCACACGGCAGATGAGCCAGCCAATGAGAGAGGCGTACCTCACAGCCAATGACAAAAGGCGTCACCGAGGAGGGGGGAATCTGGCGAAGAACGTCGCCAATGGCACCGACAGAGCCCTTCTGGGGGTCAGCCACGACGGGCATTTGGAGGTCGTAGGTGAGGTGATGAACGCCGCGGCGGACAGCGTAGACGGCGTTCGAGAGTCCCTCGCGCAAATCAGCTGGCTGGTGAAGTCGACCCTGGCGCTGACGGATGGAGGGACCGGGGGTTAGGATGTCGAACGCAGTCTGCAAGAAAAAGAAGAGGGTATTCAGGCGGGCCTTGGACGATCAACTCCACGACAACCGAAGCCGCTGACGCACCTCGAAGAGGATCTGGGCCGTTCGGACGCCCTGGGAGCTCAACTCCAACAGGGACCACAGCGCGTTGGTGGAGAGCGAGTGTGCTCCTGTCCGCAGACCGTAGACAATGTAGTCAGGACGGTTTCGCGTTAGCAGACGCGGCAACACCGCCAGGCGGCCGCAGGGGCATCGACCGCCTCCACCGACGACCGCCTTTCGACAGCGCACACACACGAACGAGTCGGCGGTGAGGTTGGCGCCGTTCGACAACGAGTTGTGGCGAAAACCGTCGATTGAAAGACGCACAAAGTCCCACAGACCGTGAACTACAAGGAGGCGGTGTTTAAGGAATATGGGAGTTGGTGGACGTGGGCTTCAATTATGCAGAAAGTTAAGATTGTCAAAGTTTCCCAACTTGCAGCATCCAAAAAACCAACCACCAATCATGAAAAAACAGTAAATGAGGAAGTATTTTGACCATTCACTTTCGTCATGTTCGTGACCTCGAGGAGAAGTGTTTTAGACGTTTTCTGCAAAAAAGGGTCAAAAACCAGCACCCGAAATTAAGTCAACATCAATTAAATCGAATATAAGTGGCAAAAAGATGCAATTAGAGGATCAGATTCAAAATTCCCTCAACGAGGAAGCGAAGCCCAATTTTGGCGAAGTTCGAACTTGCCGCTGCAGTTGATTGGTTGCTTCAAGGACACGAGCTGCCTACCGGGCCAATGTAGTGATCGTGTACTTTCCTTCAATTTGAATTGCGCAGCACACACCTACCTCCCACCCTAAACGCTTTTGCACCTCATGGAATGACATAAAACAATTGATTAATTGCACTGACAGAAGATACGCTCGAATGTGAAGATGTTGTACATAAAACACACTCTGATTGGGCTAACACGAAATGCTTGTGTGCGTAATTAGGCAAATAGTTTTCTTCCATCGGTACTTGTAATTTGCCACTTGTGGAAGCTAATTTTACTCGGCTTTGTTGTTTGTGTAACCACTTTGATTATACTGAAGTAGGTAAGAAGCTCAATGACTAGTTTGAACATGAATTAAATGCACTTCGCGCAACACAACCACTCAGGGTTTGAAACAAGCACCGCCAACGCAATCAAACTGAGCCAAAGAAAGCTGATTGGTTGATTGCGCCAGTCATGTCAATTGCCATCCAGCCAATGAAAGTGGCAGAAGTAAACGTACCAATGTTGGCGACTTCGTGCATTGGTCCAACACTAGTCATGAGGATTTGTGGCAGCTGGGACTGCAGCGTCGACATCCAGTGATCGAAGACCTCTTCGAGCAGACACGAGACGCCACGGTATCCACGCCGATAGACCCACTTGGGGAGAACGAGTTCAGCGTTCTTCAGCTGCAGGAACAGCGCCAACAAGCCCACGAGAGTTCCCTAAAGGCGGAACACGGTTAGACTCACGCGAAAATCGATGAGAAATCGATTAACCAACCACCTGCAAAACGCCAAAAATACCGCAATGTACCTGAGAGCGATCGAGCTGACGACCGTAGTAGTTGAAACGAATAGAAAGGTTCGGGCTGATGGTGAGTTTTCTGAAACAAGAAAAAGAACCGTGCGGAAGACGAGAGGGAACTACACAAGCAGCCCGCAGTAAAAAGAGGTACTTGATGAAGACGGGCTCGTCATTCTCCACCTCCTCAACACCGACGGTTTGAGTAGGGGGGGAGTTGAGGTGCTCCCTAGGGGTGGCTTCTTGTCCCGCCTTCACCGTCTGATGAATGTCGAAGATGGAGGCATGCGCCTCGAGGTCGTGGAGATAGCGACCCATGAGGAGAGTGAGTGCGTTGTGGTAATTTCGGAGAAAAATAAACATAACCTAAAGCAGGAACAATGAGAAGTGACGCACACGGACCAATAGGGATTGACCTTTGTCTGACCAATAGCAAATGACCTTCCTCTGCCAATTAGATTTGCAGACCAAACTCAACTCAAGCCACGACCTTACCTGATCCAGGTTAATCTGAATTGGCTGGATGGAAAACTTTGCCTCAGCTTCAAGATCGGCGGGAGCAAGCAGATTTCCTGTTGCCACATTTATCGACGGCGCAGAAGGCCACATCGCGACAGAGGCGCGAATCGCCTGGGTGCTCATCGCGTCGTCCTGAGGTCGTCGTGGACGCTGGACGTGGAGCAGGTGGTTTACTTTCGAGGTGACGATGCCGTCGACAATTTTGACGTCCTTGATGCGCAGAGAGTAGCGCGTAGTGGGACGACAAGGGACTTGGTTGTGGCGGTGTAGAGCATCACTGGAAGGCGACGACGCCGAAACGGAGCCGTGGCAGAAGGCGCGTGGACGCGGATGACTCCTGTAGACAACCAGGGATTTTCGGAAGTATATACTTGAAAGACGAAGTGTCACAGCCTAGAATTGAATAGATTCAGGGTTGAAGAGTTGGTGGCAAACAGTGGGAGTCATTTCAGCACAAACCCACCTGGTCAGACAGACGAATCAACACCGGTGATCGGCTCAACTCGGGTATCTCTTGAACCCCGAGTCCAAGGGGTTCGGGGGGTGGTGATGATCTTGCTGGTCGACTTTCACGCGATCTCACTTCTGACCCAAAAAGTACACCCTCCACTTCTGCGTCTACAAGGAGGGAGCCAATTAGCACCTCGAGCAAATGACGTGATAGTCGATAGCGAAAATTTACCTGAATTCAAGGCTGGGAAATCCAGTCCCCCGAAGACAGTCCACGAGAAGGAGACATCGTATAGGGTGAGAGCGAAAAGCGTTTCAGCACCGGGAGGATCTGTGAAAAGACTCAGTCGTCGAGACGGCAAAGTCGTGGATCCAGTTGCAGAGGGATGTCCTTTGTGCGATGATGGAGCGTCACCAGCTCCATCGCCGTAGAACCCCTCAGTAGGTCGGAGAGGTGTGGACGCAACGACTAGAGTTCCATCGTATAGTTGGCGTGGAGCCTGATCAGGATCCGTGAGGGGCTTTTTCCTGCGCCAGGCAGATCCAGAGATCACAACAAAGTCGTAGTCGTCGTCCGTAGGCGGAGTTGACGGCTCGGGCGTTGAAGGTGGCTGAAAGTGGAGAGTAGAAGGTAACTGGTTATACTGCTTAGGTCAATGAAACAGGACCAACTCCGATACGATGGAAAGGCACCCACCACGTCAACGTCCGCCATCGCGTCGGAGATGAGATCTTCGAGTCGAGATCGGCCCACGGCTGTGCCATTCCAGTGAGGGGAGCGGTCTTCCGGTGGCGCGATGATCTAGATCGGTTAACAAAAAGAGACCGTGAACGATCAGCTTTGAAGGTTAAGGATGCGCTAATTGCTTCTACAATTGATCACCTCGTTATCAGACGAACGTGTTAGCAGGGAAGAGCTCTTTCTCGAACTTGTGGCGTGCTGGGCAGATGATGATGACGAGGCATCGCTTGGAGCGTTCGGCGATGCCGAGGCTTCACCGAGACCGGCTAAAACCAGACGCATCGCGACCAGACTGTCCACACACGTGGTCACACGCAGCATGTTGTTTGTCAGGCGAATATCCAAGCGCTCGGCTTCTGGCGCAACCGACTAAGACGCGGTATTAAACACGCAGATGAGATCAGGGAATCTTTGCACACAAAATTGCATTTCGATGAAGACGGCAGCTGGACTCACCTCGGCTTCGGGTTCATCCAAGGCACAAGAAAGCGGCTCCGAGAACAGACGCACTTCCAGGTGATCCAGATCGACAATCTTCACCGATCGACTGAGCAGCGAATCAAGACCTTCGCTGAGCACACAGGCGTTGAGCGCGTTTACCTCGGAAGCTATGATCGGAGCGAATCGGACGTGGTTTTCACCAGTGGCGGAGGCTGAATGTCTTTTCTAGGGGAAAAAAACCATTGCATTTACCAAAGCACCAATGAGAATTGGTCTGTTGCTTCAAAACACACAGGACAACCAATCAAAACCAAGATACCAACGCACAGCTAATCAAATCAAGGGGAGAAAACAAGTGAGCGTAGAACCGACCTTAGACTTTAAAGTTGACGCTGACGATTGCGGGGGCACCAGCCACAGTCCGATTTTGTGGAGAAATCCGATAAAATTGACGCCAGGATCGAGGTTAAAGAAGGAGGTCACACTCTCGACAAAGACTAGCGGTCGAATGTCAGCTAGACCGGCACCAACACCACCTCCACCACCAATATTTGTGCTGTCGACGCGAAAGGCCGAGACTGGTGGCCAGGTGAGTGCCAGGTCGTTGAACTGGGCGTGCACCTTCACCGAATACACAGGAGGCACGAAAGCTGGGTAGACCGCAGCCAAATCCTCAGAGGGAAGACGCAGCGTCGACAAAAGTCGGTGTAGCCAATCAGCGTCGGCCCCCCAGGTGTCTAGACGAGGCCAGTAGCACAGACAGGCGCGACGCAGGCGGAGAGCGAAAGAGACGTCCTCGGAGAAGTTGGGAGCCAGGGGTTCTACAAGGCCAACGACGAGGTGTTCCAAACTGAACATTCCATACCAAACAGGGCTGTCCAAGTCTTCGTAACAATTCAGTAACACCTACCGTGAGGCCCAATACGGTTGACTGAGCGCTTCTCGACAGCCAATGAGAACATTGGTTCGTTGGTGGACGATGGGAAGGGTAGAAAAAGAGGCACAGAAATCTTTCCATGGGTCGCATCCTCTCCACCAAACTGCCGACTACTTCCCAAAACATCTAGAAGGAGAGATTGAGCTAATCAATAACGTGGAGCTGATTCACCTCAAGAGGTGGCAAATTGCGGAATAAACAGACCAATGTACCAAATGTTACACTCCAATTCTGACATCCAAATCGACGCATTTAAACTTGTGGGAGATAATAAGAGGGCAATTAACGGGACGGCATCTGATTACAGCTCATGGTTCCTCACTCCTTATTGACCAATCACAGTGGAGCATCGTATTACAAATAGACAACGCTCGCTGCAAAAAAGCTACCATCACCATTAGCATTATCGTCAACGAGGTAATCAAGCTAGGATGACCAAATTAGGGTCATGTGTGGGGAATGGAATATACCAAGGCAGCACACCTGAGACATGACACTCAATCTGACGAGAGGTCAACGAGGCGTAGAACAATTCGGATTGGCCACGAGGACAAACCTCCGTTGTCAGCGCAACTGATCGAGCAGTGAACACAACCTGCGGAGATGAGGATCGCAGAGAGCTCGGCCTGGGTTTCTTAGCACCCCTGTTTGGCGGGATTCGAACTCGGACCTCAGCGGTAGTAATTGACACTGAGGCAAACAACAGCGATGGCTTGTAGAGGTCATTCGACGATTTACCATCGCCACCTCCAGCCTGGTCGTCCTCGTCAACGGAGGAGAGCGTGGTGTTGAAATCTAAATCAAAAAAGACACGAAGGTCACCTTCAAATACCAGCACTACTTCAGAAAACACCTTGGCGACCAATAGCATTGGTTTAATTGGGTGTCCGCCAATCAGGGCACAGCTTGACACTCACTTGAGCTATCGGAGTGGCTAAAGGATGCGCCTGGCGTCACGTGATGTCGCTCCTCGGCTGCCTGTGCAGCCAATGGGTGAGCGTAGATCTTGGTAAGGGGCACTGGCTCCAAAAAGAACCAATAACGATGATCGGAGGCTGGCAACGTGATCACCTGCCCGCCTGGCTCCAGGGTCGCACGCGTGACCTTGTCGGAGGGAAGGAGACTGCGCCAAAGCACGAGGTCACGTAGGACTCTAAAGTAAACAAAACACATAAACACAATTTCAAAGGAACTGCTTACACTTTAAATCAGTGTTTTCCGTGTAATTTGCTACCGGTCACATCCAGGAAATTTCCTATTGGTCAGTTCAAGGTCATGAAGTACACACACACACAAAACGCACCTAGAATAGATGAGAGCGACTGTGTGGTTATTCGGGAGGTTGACGACAGCCACTGGCAGAGACACGTCGAGGAAGAATCTGGAATGCTGAGAAGCGTTGGCAGAGTACATCGCCAAGTGTTCCGCGTCGCCAGGAGACAGGTAGTCCTGCAAGAATCGGTCAAATTTCGTTGTTACTTCACCTCAGAGAGGGCAAAATAACGTTCAAAAGTAACGCAAATCACCTTATCCCACACATTCTGGGGGTTGTCCTCGAGAAAGGCTGTTTTCCTGATAAACGGAGACCGATTGGCTGCCTTCGGGGTGAACTTTCTTAGGAGTACCTCGCCGATATCATCGCTGGAGCCACTGGAGTTGTGGCGATTGGTGTCTTGGTGACAATGCGCGGTGTTTTGTTGCGACATCGTCGACGACACCGTGTCTGGGGAGAGAGGAGGTGGCGACGGAGTTCGAATAGTCACTTTTCTGTGTCGCCGTGGGGACGAATCGATCGCAGCGTCGACCTGGGGCTCCGTAAGATGTTGTCTTCCCGCAGGCGCCATTCGGAAGAAGAGACTGCAAGAGAGATGAAGCCATGACAGGGGACAAGGCTTTTTGATTGTCTAGGTAATCCGACAGTAAAAATATCAATTGGAGCGATTTGAAATTCTAACGACTTTGAAAGATTTCCTACTCTACGATAACTGACCACAAGAGGCATTCCAGTGTCGAATCCTGGTTTTTTTCTAACATTTGCACAAGACAAATGCTTAGACAATTTGAGATTTTGCCCGGTGCTTGCTGGGAAAAATTTGTTTTAATCAGAAATAACAAAAAAGACTCCTCCGGAACAGACATGCGTGATTTTAACGATTAGCCAAGACTGGTGGTTTTTTTCCAAACCCTCTCCAGACACATTTTACTACAACCACTCAGTCCCGGCCTTGTCTGTGAACGATGCGCCGAATCGCCTTCAAAAGAAGCGCCTTTTTTACTGGGAAACGTTAATTTGATATCGTGCATTTTCTGGCAACCACTAGGTACTAGGAAATGGCAAATATGTGTTTTACACGATGTCTTTGGGATTTACCAGTCAAAAATGCTCATTTATTTCCTCAAAAACAGTCCAAAACAACTCGTTCATTTACATGGGTGCACGAACAAATGGTCACGGTGATTGTCAAAGCCCGAATAAGACGGGCTCCATACCAACTTTTAGCCAATAGTCAAACAGCAACGGATTCCTTAAATAGTTGTCACTGAAGGCCAAGTGTAAATTGCACCAGGCAATGTATATTTCCGAAAAAAATCATGCTTGACACCAGAACACCCACCAAAAACCCATACCAGTCGTTTTCATTCCGGTGAAGTTTCACAGGAATTACAAGCATTAACCGATCAGCAGTCAACACGAATGCCATTGGTTCATTTGGCAATCCTACTAAGATGCTTGCAGAAGGAACGAAAAATGTCTTCAAGAGAACAGAATTTCACTGGTGTCATCATGACGAATTTATAAAAGATAAAAGCAGCCAAATTTTGGTGAAAAAGCCATATGAGAGAATCAGAAGAGGCAAACCTTGTTAGTCCTGACGCCGAACGATCCACGATTTGCAAAATTGGTGATTTACCGCATTCTGGTCCGACCAAATGACCTAAAAACGATAAGAATGGAGAATGTAATAAAACACGCATGATTTTTTTGAGTTTAAACCAGTCAAGCGAAAGTGGGGCTTTTTGAGATGCGATTCAAAATTTCCGCGCTGATTTAAACAACACTCGGTGCCAGAATTAAAGCTCGAATCGCGTGTGGAGGTAGATTAAAACACGGGACATCTAGTACGAGACGAATACCTTCAAGTTGGCGGAAGGTGACTTCAAAACCAACGTCGCCAGGAATGAGGCGAGCTGCGAGGTGACTGGAGCAGTCGACGGCGTTGATGGTGGCGAAAGAGAGATCACGCAAGACGAAGACGAGGGTTTCAGGACGAAGACAGGGCTTCCACCACACGGGGAGTTCCGAGGCGTTGGCGATGGTGGATTCCATCGACTGACGACTGTACAGACGAGCACGCATCGAGGCTAGATCTTCGTTGGGGAACTTGACAATGGAGGGAAAAAAAGAAGACAGTAGTGTTGGATGACAAACACCGGACACATTCAGCGTTTTTAGCATTTATTAATTACTACTATTACTATGTAATATTAACTTAATCAAATGACATGTCAGAAGAGTTTATAGGGAGCGTCACTGTTACTACTTTGGAAGACGACGACGCAAGCGGCACATCGAGATCGTTGTGCAAGTTGATTTGAGCGTTTTGTTTTGCGAAAACGCCTAACCTTTACACTACACAGCGGCCTTTTTAGAAAACGTAGCCGTCACTACGACACACAGAAAAAGAGCATCGTAAAAAAGGCCGTTTTCGGAGGAGAATGCCAAATGCCAAAATATTTGCAGCCGTTTAGAAACGCGTCAAATTGCGACCACCGACGCGGCAAGTAAGAACGCGAAATCTTGGCAAAATATACTGGTCAAAATCTAAAGTTAGGACAGAAAATAGACACAACTTACCGGCGGGACAGTTTCCAGTGGGATCGGCACGCGGAGACGAACACGAAGGCAGGGACAGGACACTGTCACTGGCGGTAGACGCAACGCCGAATTGGAAAAGTCGACGTCGTCATCGATGGACGATGCCACGGGAGAGTAGTGTCCGCCGCGATTCTGGAAAAAAACAGGAGAGACAGGTAAGTCAGCATTTCTGGTAAACGCTAAAAACCTAAAAAATCAGACAGCGAACTTACGCCAACGCCGAGCCACTTCCGAACACGAGCGTCGTCGTTGTCGAGTCGATGGTCGAAAGAATACAAGTCGGCCGCAGCGAGGACGATGTTGGCGGAGGCGCGTTCTGCGGTGGTGACGGCGTCCACCAGACGGTGCAACCTGTCTACCAGACTGGGGTCAATATCGATCGTGCAGGAGCTGAGTCTCACGCCGAGAACACCGCTCTGAGCCTCTGGATCGATTGGGAAGGTGTTGGTGTGGGAGGACGAAGACGTCGTGAAGTTGACACGAATCGCGGGCACGAGGAGATTATCCGATTCCGAGAATGTGAGTAACTAGACGGCAAGGAAAGTAACAATGATTTAGTCTGCGTTGAATCGTGGCTTCAGAAAGTTGTGATGCGGGCAGACTTGTGTCTCAACACATCAATCTCCAACGCGCCTTGATGCAAGCCTCCCATTGGTGGAAGAATAACTCGCAAAAGCCATCGAGACGCCTTTGAAGTTTGTCTGTAACTGACCAAACATTGCCGATATCTTTTTGTTTAACTGGAATAACGTGCCTATCTGGCAGCCATTTAGAATTTTCGACCGATCCGGGGAAGTTTCCAACCAATCAGCACTTCAGTCAAAAAGGAATCGCTGATTGGTTAAAAGACTCTCCAAAACACGAAGATGTACACACAAACACTTCAACAGTTATCAGAAGTCATCATGATTAAGGACTAATTAAGCCCTTAAGAAACGCTTGAAATGTGACCCCACAGTAGACGCCTTTGGTAAACTTGCAAAACACGAAGCATCAAACAGAAGCAAAAAGCCCGCCATGATCTCTAACAATATTGGCTGACGAGGTAGCCAATCAGAGGCGAAGGAAACGCATACCACAAACCACACACTTAACTAAAGCACCATACACAAGAAATGGAATCGCGTGACAATGCTCTCGTAGTCAGGGCAATTTTTCAATGCCTTCTTCTACTCACGAGCGAGATCTACGCCCTGAATACAACTTGGCGGCCACTTGCACTGTGGAATTTACACGGGGCTCAAAATTTCTATCCCTGTTCCTACGTAAGAGCGACACCACAATCGACCACGCCAGACACGATTGAGTGCAGCACTGAGGCATCAAATGAACTCGGCAACAGCATTCCTTCAATCAACCCCGAAGGCAAAGTGGTGCGAGAAATTCGCATGTTCCTCCAGCGTGGATCCTACTCCCTTCCACGGAAGGCATTCGAGAAGGTGGGCAAGGATCTAGTCAAGTTAGTGCTTAGAGGCGGTCAGCTGCGCATCATCCGAAGGGAGGCGCTAGTTGGTCTGGCGAATCTACGAGAATTGGAGATTCGAAACGACCGTCTGGAGGCACAGAAGAAGCGGGAGAACAATGGCCTGGCCGGTCGTCTGTTTACAGCAGATGGCGAATTGAAGAACTTGAAGCAGCTGAGGCGGCTGACCCTGGAGAATGTGGATTTGAGCGATGGATTAGCCGCGTACGCATTCTACGACATGAGCAGGCACCTGGAGGTGTTGAGGCTCGTTGGCAACAACATCGACGCCATCAATCCCTACGCCTTCGAGAAGAGCGAGTGCAGCAAGTCAATGCGGCGGCTGGAACTCGAGAGGCAAACCGAGCCCCCTGAATGGATCGGCAGCGCCTACAGGTGGGCACGCGATCTGGGCAGCTTGGAGAGTGTCTCGTTGAGCGAAAACAACCTCACCAACTACACCCTCGACTTCGGTTACAGCTTGAACATGAAGCTAAGGATCCTAAAACTGGAGAACTGCTCACTCTCCAGTGTGCCCGAGGTCATGCTGAGTAACCTCAAGGAGTTGGAGGAGATTGACTTGGGAGGAAATTATTTTACAATCATCTCGCCTGAGGAGGCAGGCCACACGTTGGCTGGAGTAAGGCAGTTGGCTAAGCTATCCAAGATTAGTTTGAAAGCCAACAGAAGGCTCATCACCAGACAGCCATCGTGGTTTCGACAGTCGGGTATTCAAGAGTTGGACTACTCGGCGAGCCTCCTCCGTAGACTAGCGCCGGGGGAGTTACCACGAGGACTTCAACGACTCCATCTTGAATCGACGCACATTGAAGAAATCGACCCAGCATGGAGTACGGAGATGCCGCTGCTGTCGCGGTTGTACTTGAATGCATCCGATTTGAAAGGCGTGAAAGTCAACGAGACAAGAGGCGACTGGAAGGCAGTACTGCTTCCGTTGAAGGACCAGTTGGAGGTGCTGAGTCTGGCGAATTGTCATTTGATCAGTGAGAACCTACGCGATACCGAGGAGGCTTTCCAACTAGCAGGACTGCGTTTGGGATTGAACAAACTCGCCAGCCTTCGCCATCTCGATCTCTCAGGCAACTACCTGAGCTACATACCGGCTGGGTCGTTTGAGTCGCTGTCGAAGCTCAACACGCTTAACCTCTCCAGCAATCACATCCAGACGCTGGCAACACTGGGAAACTACACTGCACAAAGCGATCCCCCCAAGCTACACCACCTCGACGTGACCAACAACGCCTTGAGCAGTCTGTCAAACAGCCAACCAAGTCTGGGATTCAGTGCGTCGCTGGAGACGTTGTTAGTGGAGGCGAGTGATTTCTTGATAATTGGCAACCCCCTTATATGTGACTGCAAGCTGAGGTGGTTGGAAGAACAACGACTACACGGCGAGAACTTCACGTGCGTGGGAAGAAACAAACTTGCCGGTCTTGGATTTCAACAAGTTCGATTACACGACCTAATCAATGAAAGCGACTGCATTAGTGACGACCCTCCAAAGGTGCCCAATCCCGTTTATCCCTTCAGACCGGTGCGTGTGTTCGGCTACGACGCGGCGATAGCTCGGATCTACTTCGGCGTGAAGCCGCGAGCACTCAAAACCGCCTGGGAGAATATCGCGCGGACGTCGCCCCAGCATCACGCTTTTGAGCTGCGCAAACACGCGCCAGGGAGAAGCAGTCCGGCCTCACAGGTTGCCTGGACGCTGAAACGCGACTACGTGGTCTTCGAGGTGGCCTTTTGGCCAGTCGGGCAGATTAACAAGATGATCGACCCCAGGGGTTGGCAGGTGATAGACGAGATGATTCGTGAGCGCGAGTATGTCTTTGCAGTTGAGCCAATTCAGGCCAGTCGGGCGCACATCGTGTGCTTCCGTAACGCCATGGACGGCCGTGACATTGCCCAATCCACCCTCTGCCAGATCTTCCAGCCGAGTGAGCTCACCATGTCCACGCCGACGAAGCCCGAGCGAGAGTGGAGGCCGCACTCACACCCGCCGATCTGGGCAATTATTCTCATCACAGCGGGCGTTGTCACGTTGTGCGTGAGTTTGCTGTGGCTAGGTGTACGCTGCTGCTGCCGCTGCCGCCGCCAGCGACGCAGTAAGCAACAGGGCAAGCCAAAACCCCAAGACGAGGTAACACCGAGTCCACGGTACAGGAGTGGTTACCTTGATCACAGGCATCAAATGGAAAGCAGCTACGATAAGCTGGAGAATTACTACTTCGAGAAGTCTCTGCCGGATTTGGGAAGTGTCGACTACAGACCGGAGCTGCCGAAACGGTCGCCCAGGATGCACCAAACGTCCACGTCGTCGTTGGGTGTACTCACGGGAAGAAAGTACATCGCCGCGGCACGCAACAATCAGACGAGGTCGTGCAATTCGCCCTCCGCGACCAGTCACATTCTCGTGAACCCCCTCGAGAACCAGATCAGGACGGCGGCCAAAGTGGGCATGGGGAGTCCGAGGCTGCCGCGGCCAGTGACCTATCTGTCCAAGTCGTCACTAGTCCCGAAAACCGACGACGACGGCTACGTTGCCATGGACGTGACCAACGAGGACTACCTTGAGGCGCGATCTGAGAAGCGCGCCAAGATGGAGGCCGCAGCGGAACCGATGATCGACTCGTACATCCTTGGCGTGCCCACTAGAGCACTGCCACCGAAACTACCGATCGCGGAGGAACATAGGAGCTCGCTTGGAACAGCGCCGATATGCAGTCCAGAGTGCGAAACCCCGGGATTACTCGAAATGGCCAAACAATGTGAGGCATTTCATTAATTTTCTTTTGAAAGTTAGAAGTGAATTGAGTTCTATTAATAAATTAGGCCTTGTGTTAAAAACACGATGAAAAATTTGGTGACAGGGGGTTTACTACCAACGCTAAGACTAGCAGAGCACAGGAATCGATACGCTAACGTGGCTCCCTACGATACTTGACCTTGGGTTGAGTTCTTGTTTAAATCAACCAGGAAGGCGGCTTATTTAATCACTTCTATTCTCTTCGGTAAGTTGTGTTGTGAGGGGGAATTTGACAAGGTGATAATATGTGAATAATGCCAGTTGGCTTGATTGGCAAGTCACGACGTCGACTGGAGTTAAAATTCACTACCCACGACGGGCGTTGCACACGCAATGAACCACGTACAAGATGATCACACACTATTGCGTGCATCTGACTAATTGAGCGATTGGAGATGCAACCAAAGTAAACCACGTTTTCTTCTGTTTTAGGCTAGACTCCATGACACAAGACACAAACTCCGACTGTGTACATAACAAAATGATTAAATAATAAAAAAAATACTTTCCGACAGGACTGTCAATTTGCGTGTTTTGAGTGAAATTGGTTATCACCTGCTTACAAGCTGTTTAAGGAGAATTCTGATTAGCCGAAAATGCAGTTTAGGGGCAAAACGGTAAAGCTAAAATTTGGTTTGACACCCACACAAACACGCACATTCTGTTTCCCAATTCCAAGATGGGATGTCATCTGATTTAGAAACCATAAACCGCATTTTCTGATTCTCTTGGGGAACAGATCTTGAACCTAGACTGGGGTGTGACGCACACGTGTGAAGGCACTCGATCACACACACGCACAAAAAGGCGTTGGGACGACTTCTTTTGGCACAAAAAAGAGTGAAGTCAGGCACAAATTTCACATCTTCGAGCGGGAAGCGAAGTTGGGCGTGGGAGTTATGCTGGTGCGCAATGTCTATCCAACAACAGGAACTGCAATCCTATCCATAAACCAGTGTGCGCCCCAGGAAATTGCTGAAAGCAAGACAATTAAACCCCCAGACGTTGACACGATTATAAAAAAAAATTCATTTATGTGCACAAAAGAAATGCTGAATTTTGCATGGTTTTCATATTTTGGAATTGCAATAAGTGACCAATAGTTTGAGTTATCAATTAGTCCTTCCCAGTCACAATGGGAAGGCAGCATCTGTGGAGATTCGAGGTTGACCAGTTGGAGGCGATTCACTGCCGTGTTACAACAAGTTCGATGGTGGCAGAGAGAGGGAAATAGCGACTTCAAGCCACGTGTATAACAAGGCGTGATTAATAGCAACTGGTTGTCTGTGCAGGCCTGGAACATTCCACTACACCATGACAACGAATGAGTTTGCGAATTGGAGGAGAAACAGAACAACGGACATAAAAGTACACGACGAAGACATCAATTACCAACTACCAGACGCTTACGGGTGTGCCTCTAGACCAACTAGCGTCTCAACGATGAAAAGCAGAGGGTTTTGAGAAACCACCGAATGTTTTAAAGTGCAAATATCAGCTGCATTTTGTGGGCTACAGAAAAATGCAAATTTTCGCATGCCCTACAGCGAAGGAACACGTTTCTACATACAGTTGTGCAATACTTGACGGTTTCCGTGTTTGTTAAAGCAATTATGTGTTGTAAGCACAGTTGGCGGCCTGGTAGTTGAAGTCAACTAACAACCGAGGATACCGTCAAATTACAGGGCTAATCGTCAAGTAGGCAGGGAGTTGATGGCCAAATAACTAGGCGATAGTGTCGTGAGTAACGATTGATCTCCAAGTACACACGCTTCACACTGTCGACCAATCGCAGTACTTGAGATCAGCGTCCTCCTTTCAGAGATTTTCAGCGACTGTTTGATGCTCATTTTTACCACTGGGTGGCAGATTCCTCACCAATTTCATTTTGGAATCATCCGGCAATGACAATCATTGCCCGCCATCGAGCCCACAAGCCGAGAATGAATCAGGAGGTAGTCGACCTAGTCAAAGAGTGAAATTGCGGAGCCTATCAACGAGATTTCGTACCTCTTGATGGACAGATTTTCAACTCCAGGCACGCCATCACGCATATTTCCCCCAAAATTACCATACAAACGGCAGTTGAACAGACAGCCTGGACTGTCAAGCCAATCACCTGCGTCCGAGGCATTAACGAGCCATGGGCAGCGGACGGCACAGTTCCACCAGCCGCCAAATGCAAACCAAGCTTCGTAGAGACACAATGTGCAGCATTTGCTGAATCATGCAGGGAATTATGTTCGACGGGACAGAGGATCACAAAACGCCGGAAACACACACCCCTTCAAACCCACCAAAGTAGCATTTAGATCGTTAAGATGGACGTCTGGACTGGTTATGGACACGAGAATTGCGCGTCGATTACTGATAAAATGTACCAAACATACTTCAACTTAAATTCGCAATTTAAAAGCGAGAAGAAAACTAGCACACACAAGTAATCTTAACAAAGTAAATCTCCAACATTAAACTAACAGGTCAGGAATGTCTAATTATTAAAAATATCAGGATTTCAATGAAAATAACACAACGATCAGCCGGACCAAACACAACACGGTAGCATAATGTGCATGACACTTGCTGCTATGGCGAATGTGTTGTGAATCGTGTTTAATCACACCCTTCAACCCGGTCGCTCCACCTCCGACACAGGGTTCCCCTTTTCGCAGCATGTCGCCAGCCGCGCGGATCCTCAACTCCCACTTATTCCCACAAATATTTATCTTGGATTATCCTCACGCCTAGGTCTCGATGGTAGCGCATGTATGACTCACACATCCGAGGCATAAATACACACGCGCAAACCCCACAAACGACACAATGACAGCAGTTTTGGTTGAGCTCTGAAGTAAACGGTTGTGCCCACGTCCTCATCGCGGGTATTGGGGAAACTTAATCGGGCCAGAGTTAATTCCGTGGCCCCGGTGTGGTTCAAGACCACATGCTGGGGCCCACAAAAGTAGAATTAACAGGCAAAAAAAGAATCCCGCTTCACACATAACTAGCCGCGAATACAACAAGGCAATAAAGGTGCGAAAACACGCGCATAAATAGCTGCTGCACTGATAAATACCACGCAGCCTGCGCTACCTCAGAAACCACTCAGAAACGGCTTCCCGCGAAACCACAAAATAGCGCGCTGCCTACTTAATGAATTGCATGGGTTTTTGCCAACACACAACCATTATCAACACCATCACCTGCGCGCACGCACTCGCGCGCGCCCATTGGTAGATGGGGTGGGGGTTAATCGCGTAAAAGGGAACCTCTGCCTCGATGTCGAGTTATTTTACGACAGGAAGTGCCTCGACGGAAGCAGGAATCTCCCCTCTCCAACTCAAAGAATGTAAACGCGTTCGAGGTAAGGCGATAAAATTAGCAATTGGGAGGAATCCAATCACTGTACGCGAAGTGATCGTTCCTCACAACTTCATTGGCTGACGCGGTGCCAATCAGCGCACGAGGTGATGAGTCGAGGTGGTGAAGTGGTTGCTAACATTACCGTCGTGGATGTTCAAAATTCGATTTCCATCGGCAGACAAAATCCTAAATTTACCTAATTCCGCGGCACACATGCCCACGAGCGCAATTGCACGAATAGAGAGGAATTCTCAAAAGTTCAAATCTTAAAGGCAGATTTCAAAAAAGGTTAACCTTTGATAGTGCAAGCGCACGATTAGGAAATCACACATTGTCTCTTTTGGTTAAAAAAACGACATTTTATATTTTGCCGTGATCATATCGACCGCTCTCATCTAAGTGGCTCATTCAAGTGTTGCCAAGGTCACCAGAGGCGAATGTGATTAGGCGAATTCCGATGTGATCCCGGGATCTCTGGGAAAGTTAATACCGGACGAGGGAGAGCAGAATAGCGAATAAATTAAAATTGACCAATTAAAATCTGATACTAACGACACGAAGATACCAGAACTAGGGCTGCGTGCTTACAAATAGTGCTTCGCAAATTGGGCAAATTAAAGTGAGATGAATTTGAGAAAAGCGGCAACATGGAATACCTTGGTCACGCTGAGTGAGTCTGCAGCAGCGTGGCTAAAGAGGCATTCGGTGAGAAGGAGGCTGGTGATTTGGCCGGTGACCCGTTGGTGGGTCGTGGAGTCGCCGTCATCCGCCAACTCGCAGGTCACATCCAACTGACAAAATCCTGCTGCCAGTCTACCAAAGAGACAGGTGGAATTACGTGGAATGTAGACAAAAATAATGCTATTGAAGTTGTCGGTGAACACACGAGTTAGTTGGCTATGCTACACACACAAAGATTGAATCCCCGTTCCACATTTTGGGTCGCGATCTACACGTCTAGCGAAGTCGAACGTCGGTTGGCTACGCGAGCCATCCAACATATCCCCACAACATCGATTCAATCGCTCGTGGATCCAGCCAGATGTTGGCAGGGACGCAGAGAACAACGACAGAAGGAGAGTGGGGTAGAAGAACTTTTCTTTGTGAATTCACCAAGCCACAAACAGCATGTGCACACTCCCACACACATACACACACCTGTCAGCCGAAGTTACGGTGATTACGGCATGCACAAACACGCACGCACACCAGCTACGTGACATCGGATCCCATCAACTCGCTTGTGTGTACGTGCGGTTTAATCAATCCCTCAGGCAATAAGCACTATCACTTTACCATGTGGATACTACTTACAAGCTCTACTCTGAGGTGGCGTTTGTCGGCTACCAGAACACACACTAACAGTGGTCATTCAGGCGCACCTGAAGTGAATGAACCAGCTTTCTGTGTGTGTTGTTGAACCTGCTTCTACCGCGTTCCCATCAACCATTCCATTCCACCAACACCATGTTCTGAACAGCATCACCCGTGCTTGCGTAACCTCGACACACCTTCGCGTTAAGCCCCAAGTTGACGCGAGATCTGCCTCCGTTGACTCCGTACTTGCTTTTTCGCGTTCAAACGCGAATACAGAGCCGAGAACGCAGATCCACGGAGATATCATCATCACCATCATCCTACCACCTACTCGACTGACTTCGAATGTCAAGCAAGTTGGTGAATCCCAACCAACACCACCCTTTTCCCTCTTTTCGCAGCATGTCGCCAGCCGCGCGGATCCTCAACTCCCCCTCATTCCCACAAATATTTATCTTGGATTATCCTCACACCTAGGTCGTGATGTTAGCGAAAGTATGACTCACACGTCCGAGGCCTAAATACACATCCTCAAACGCCACCCACGACACAACGACACCAACGTGTTTGAGCTCTGAAGTAAACGGTTGTGTCCACGTCCTCCCTGATCTTTTTCTTCATCGCGGGTATCAGGGAAGCATAATCGGGCCAGGGTTAGTTTCGTGGCCCCGGCGTGGTTCAAGAACACATAATGGGACCCACAACAAGTCGGATAGAAAGAAGACGGATGCGACATCCGATGGAAACCGTGGAATATGCCTTTCTCTGTAGACATCAGCAAGTCTACGTCTTTCGGATTCTACACACACGCACACACCACCAGCGCGATGACATTTAGCATGCTGTAATTTATGTCACGAACAGACTACGCCAACGTGAAGTCACTTGCACCGTTCTTACCTACTTGGTGTTAAATATACCAGCAAACGCGCCAAAGTTGGCATATAAGGGAATAACTTTTTCGCCTCGCGAAGCCAATCATTTCCGCTTTCGTGACGCACTGCAATAAAGCCAGTGCGAATTGCTAGTTTTATTCTCAGCAACGTAAACACAAACGCAAGAGAAATTTTAAAATCAACTGACAGATTTGGTTAAAATTAAATTCTCGTGTCAGTAAAACTACACTAAACGCATGTCATGTGTTTTGCAAGAACGTGGAATACAGAATAACAACTGGTTTGACAGTTTAGACGCGTGGATCACAAGAGAATGTAGCAAGTAGAACTCACCGCAAATGGTCTCTGGGTGAGGCTAGCAGTGCGAGATCGGTGTTGACCTGAGCGATCCATTCGCTAGCGCACACCCACTGCTGGTCGTTGTACTCCAAGCACTGAACACCGTCCAGACCCGCGAAGAAGTCATTGATACCCACCAGAGACCCAGGCGGTGGCGCCTGCAACGTCAGGGAGTTCTGACGGCTGGATACCTCGTGGAATTGGTCGTCGGAGCTGCTGCTGCTGCCGCTGCTGGAGGTCTCGATATCCGAGCCGCAGGATAAGAGCGGCTGGGAGGAGAGGTCCCCCGTGAACGGAGAAGCCTCTTCGTCGGCGTGGAAGAGCGTCAGCACAAAGAGGCGGCAGCGCGCGGACAGCGTGAACGGTGGCAGCTTCGACGCGTCGGAGAGACCTAAAGAAGGAGAAGAAGAAGAATGTGATCGATGATGGATTCGACAAGAGGACGTACAATCGACGGTGATTCCAGCACCCTGGTAGGCGGACCCTCCGAGACACGAACGAAACATGTTACTCTCTAAAAAAAACAAGGAAAAATAAATTAAGTAAACGGAAACTCATGTTGCCAATGAGAGGAGACGCCAGGGGCATTACTCACCTGTCATGGATTGCAATCCCGACGACGCCAACAGATCAGTTCGAGGACTTGAAGAGAGATCGAGATCGACGAGGTTGGTGGTCAGGACGTCAACAGAGTTCCGCCGATTCTGCGACAGTAAAGAAGGTGTGATTTGGGAGTAGTGCATTCACGAGACTACACTAATTATACCACACTTACCAGGCTAAACGGCTGACCTGAATCAATCAGACCGAAATTGCTCTTGTGCAAGTCGTCCTCCGGTTTGTCTAGACTTCGGTCGTTGTACCGGCCGGCTAAGTAGGTGTTGTAGAGCGTTGTTAGCTGAGTTACCGTTAGGGTAAGCCAGAAGACCGCACTGGGACAAATACAGGCGACCACGGGGCCCAAATCGATACTCAAATCGACGAGAGTAGGGCGTGCGGAGGGTGAGGTTGACTCAGAGGAGAGGATTTGTGACAATATGGACGGATCACGCAGGCAAATATTGCAGTAGTTGTGGCTTGTCGGTAGCCTCAGCAAACAGGCCGACGCGATCATGGATTCGGGTGTGGGACCGGAATAGACATCCTAATGAAAATAATGTGTTACTTATATAGAGCGAGTAGGTATAATTGTAGGAGATTTCTTCTACCGAAAACTGTCACAGTTGAAGCTGGTAACAGATGACGAAATCCAAAGGCGTCTGTGACGTAATAGACGTGAGAGGCACGTGGTTATGTGCGAGCGCAATCGCTAGACTGCATTTGCATACACAACCGATTCTCGACAACACTACCGAGGTCAGCAAAATACCCGTCCCAAAGACGTCATTACTACCACTTTTCCCGTTGGATTACTCGGACAAACTACTTATTAGGTAATAAGTAGCAACGTACACGAGAAGGTGCTGTAACGGTGGGAGAGCAAGTCGGCGAATTGGAACGTGAGGAGGCAGGGGAGTGTTGACCAGTGCCCCCCATACTGGTGTCCCAGAGATCCCAATGCAAGGTCACGTCTTCCAGACGAATCAGCTTGCGCATAACTGGTGGGACGCTGGCTTCTGATTGGCTACCACCATCACCTCGGTTACCAGACGTGCGTGAGGTGGTTGAGTCTTAATCAGATAATAATCGATAAGGTTACCCCCATGAACGAGGTTTCTTGAATTCAAATAGTTCAATTTATTGAATCCCTAACAGTTCACACAAGTCATCCTTATTTCAACCACTACTACTCTGCAAATCAAAAGATAGTTGTTAGAAAGAGAATTTGTTTACTACGAATCAGTTGCTTTGTATAGGTAAACATACACCACCAGCATTGGCTATTGACAAAACAACTGGCATTGTGGAACCAATAGTAGACAAGATCCAACGCGCCATGTTCAAATTCAAAGTGGCGCTGCCTGCCAGACAACGCAGTGGACAAAATAAACTTGGCGAAATATCAACACACGCGATGACAGTTTTGACAAAATCATTAAACAGAGAGCTGAGATTAGTACGAGATATTCAAAAATTATCAACATTTTAAAAAGTAGCCAGTTTTTAAATTACAATTTTTGAGTAGCCTGCGTTGAAGCCTATTGGGTGGTTTTACTTGCGTGTCATTGGCTACAGCCCCACCAATCATTATGCACGCAGGCCCATCATTACTAAAAACCGAGCAAATTACCTAGGCCAAGCCTCCACATATTGGCCCAAAGCCACGACCACAGGCTGCTAGAGCCTCCAGCGGCGCCGTCGGTACCCGACTTGGCGTCTGGCGTGGCCTTCGAACACGATCGTTGGCGGTGGTGTGAAGTGGCGCCACCTCGTCGATTCTCACCGTCACCACCTGATGCTGCGCTAGTCGAAGACACGTCGGAAGGTGCGGTTGACTCGCTTTCTACATTGTTCACCTCCAACAGGTGAATGCGCAAACGAAGGTCGCAGGCTCTGTGAATACCGCTGAGGGTCAGGGGACACTGGAGACGCAGATGAAGATCACGAAACGTCGCCGTGGCACCGAGTAGTACTTTAGCAAGAAGACAAGAGAGGTGGTGAGTTAAGGCTGCCGTGGAAGCCTTAGGTGTAACACTAAGTTCGGTGTGGCTTCGGTTCTAGTAGCATTTACCAACAGTTAGTACAGTCATCACCTGACCATCGATTCGAGGTCAGAATACCTTCACGAACAGCCAATCAAGAAAGCTGGCAATTTGTTTATTGTTTGAGTGTGTGTGCAGGCAATCAACGTGTTCAAATCTCAACCATTCTACATCACCGTTAGTTACGTACGCGGATGCCGTCAGATTTCAATTTGCAACACACACTAGCAACTACAGTCAGGATCAACTGAACCATTTAGCTAACTTTAGCACAAATTACCAACACTAATTCGAAAGATCAACACGTTTGGTGTAAGCAGTTATGGGTTTACTATGACCAACCAGCTGCGTCTGACTCACCCTGAATTGATTGGGTGAAAATTAAGTCCCCGAAAGTTACAATTGGGCATTTACGATATCGATCAGACCTTGAATCGGCCAATGGAAAAGATTGGTATCATGTACTACTGCATTAGTAAAAACTGATTCGAAGAGATGTGAAAAAAAACGACAATAAAAAAACGAGTTCAGTCGTCACACTTTAAAGTTTGTGGTTGACACCGCGACAACGAAAAGAGTTACAGGAAACCCACGGATTCACAAGTCACGGGATTATACCACGGCGTGAAGAGCCAATTTCGCAAGCCTTGTTTCGGGATCAAATGTGACTAAGAGATGGGATTAGTCGAAAAATCGCACCTCCCTCCCCCCTTTAATTGTCATGCGATTCCAACCTATTGTGCGTAGATGACTCACCCAACTGACTTGAGGTCTCGCCTAGGAGAACAGACCTGTGATTAAGAACTGGGGACACATTTCAAGAAATGGAAAATTGACGATAATAGCAAAACAGACATTAAGCATTGCTGAGGCAATATAGCCACAATCCTGAATGCTACAAATTTTACGAAAAACACAAATCGTCGTGGCAAACAGTGCTAGTCGGTAGGATTAGACGAAGTGGATAAGATTGACGTCAAATGCACTGCAGTTTGGTAGATAGCGACGCAAACACAGACTGTCACACCAGTTGAGGTCATGTGATCGAACGAAAAAGGGGACGTAGGCATACCGTAATCTTCTGGCCAAAACCACGCGACAATCAACCATAATCTGACAAGAAGCCGTTCTCTTCTGTCTGCCATCTTACTGTTAGTTACACAAATGTTCGTGATTTTGAATAACACCGAAATTACTCTTGATATTGCTTGTGCGGTTACTGAACAGCTTTGATAGCCAAAAAGGCAAAGTTAAGTCAAGAAGGAGATAGAGGCAAGACTATATAAAAATCGGATAGGTTTCATTACATAACGACCTAAATGAAACCGCTAAACAGAGATTTGACAACTCAATGTGAGACCAGGATGTGCTAATTACTGCGTATTCACACCCATAAAATTGACACTACCATTACCACAGATTCCTAAGGTGATATGTCATCAGACAAATTCTTTGGGTCTGAAGGGAATAAGGGATGCGGAATTTTTTTCACGATAAAAGGAATTAGGTCGCAAAATTCGGTGACAAAAGATTCAACAGAAACCTAGCATCACACCTCAGCTATACATTAAAAAAACCAAATTATTAAAAAAATGGAACAAACAACGTACGAGAATCAATAAAACGAGCGGCCCGTTCAATAGCCTCCTTGTCGACAAGGGAAGGCATCTCGCAGGCCTTGCTTCCGACATTATGGACAAACTTATCCAATTTCTCAACGATTTTCTCCATCATTTTTGAGTCAACTGCATCTGATTGCAAAGACGAATCATTGACTTGAATACCACCGGCATCGTCTGCTACGGAGACAGCCGCAAAAGCGAATGCCGTAACGCTAGAGACGAGCGAGTTAAGCATTTCATCTAACAAAAAAAGTTCCAGATTTGAGAACACAGCTTTCCATAAATGCATGGAAATTATTTGCATTTAAATGGAAACTAAGGTGAAGCTGAAATTTTCAGTGTAGCATAAAAGGCTTTAAGCTTACCGCTGTGTCTGGAAAAATCATACGAAGTGGTTTGAACGACCAATTCAAGTCTGATTACTTCTACCTTCAATGGGAAGTGCACAACAATTTGGCCGATGTATGCAACACAAATCACAAATGGAATATTCTGCTCAGCCAGCATGGCGTTAAGTTTCTTTAAAAGAATAAATTACACAGATAATACACAAAATACCTTTATGTTTAAATATAAATCGCTGCAGACAACTTTGTCGTCGAAAAATTCAAGCTGCTGCGGTTCTAACGGACTGGCAAGAAAAGATCCGAGAAAATGGTTCAGAATGAACCTAAACGACCTAGCTTTAAGATTAAAGAGAGACATCGCTCCAAGTATCTGGAGGGGTAAATCCCCAACTCTTAATCGGAGCGCTTCCAAAACAGATGATTTTTTCTGCACGTCAGTTGGTATAAACAAATATCAAAGTTTAAAAAAATATTACATTCATACCTATTGCATGAAAAACAACATTGACCTAAAAACTTATTATTATAATATGTTTCTTTAATTTTGGCATTAGGTTTACAGCATTTTAGCAACGGAATTCAGTAGTAATTGTCCACATTTTTTAAGCTCTCTTTGAAATGTTCAAGGTTATATTTATGTGGTAGCAAGATTGATACCAATGGGACACCCAGTTTTTCATATTGTGTAAAAAAATAATCAGATCATTTGATTTTTTTTAATATTTGAGTCGTTGCTATTTTGGTGTGCTTTTGTGTATTGATAGCGAAATAACTATTAGATTTAATGTTAACTAATCATGGCAACTTGTTACAAACTGTATTTAGAAATGGTCCTTTCAAAATATGCTATTTTTTTATTTGTATGATTAAGGATTAACTAATCGACTTAATGGACATGCAGAAATGGTTTAAGTCTTTGAATTAACGATGTTTTATATTTGGGCAGCACACACTATCCTGGAATGTCAATGTTTCCATTATTCACTGTGATTACTTTATTTTCCGTCTTATTAACTTCTCCCCGTAAAACAAAAACATCCCAGCGAATGAGTTTTACATCGCGGCAAATTACATTTTTCAAAATCATATTATCCTGCAAACCTCAACATTCATATCTCTTATGCTCTCCACTTATTTCCTGTGCAGTACTATCTGTTTTAGATGCATCAATTTTCTAAACTTTTTACTTTTACACCTCTTAATTAACCATGTAAGTATGACTATTTGGCGCATAACAATTTGGCGTTAACGGCCCCCTGTATATTATTATATCGGCTGACATTCTGCAGATGTCCTGGAATCAGTAAGCCATTTTATATCCCGTAAAAGGAGGTCGCATTCCGATTCAAACGAATTTTTAATGCAATGATTGAATTAACCTTCATTAAATTGAATTTGCAGGCGATTTTAAATGCGTATTTTGTAAGAAAATACAGTTTAGTATGTAATATACTAAAAGAGTTCGATGAATCCATTACCGATATGTAATAAAAAAATGTGGCTTAAATTCAATTATTTCGGGATATAACTTTACTTTTTATGATTAAAATAGAAAAAGCAAAGGATACTTTTGTCAATGGTGTCTTTGTTTGTATTTTCTTAAGTAGTGCCTTTAATTTTTGTTTGTAATTCAAAACAAAAGACTTGAAAAACTCACTCTTCTATTCGTATATGCTGTGTCAATAAATTGGTTGCTACCTTAACCACCTCCACGTCTTGACTTCTGAAGCATTTCAATGTAAAACAAGGTGTGAACAATTGCTTCTAGTTTATTCAGCAAGGTTTTTTTATGATCTGTCTTTGATTTTTATAGTGAAGAAGCGAAACGAACTGTAATTATGCATTCAAGCGTTGTAATTGAGGTCCAATATATGATGAAGAAAACTGTCAGTTGGTGTAGGATTATTTTGCTCCCTGATTTGATTTCTGACTTCATTGTGGTGATCACTTCAGACTAACACAATGTTTATAAGTGGCGCACAGCATTTTGGTGGCCTTGCTGTGATTTACGGTAAGCTTTGCTACAACCTGAATAAGCACCGTCAAAAGAATCGTCAAATATCAAAAGGACTGGTATTTGACCCCATAATTGCGGCAACGGTTGTCAATTGGATGATCCTTATCTTTGTAATTCTATCCACAATCAAACATTATGCTTGTGGATATCCACATAGGTGGTCAGGACGTTATTATTTTAAAACTAAAAGCAATTTAAAATTTTTACCGATTTGAACGACAAACAACATTCCACGCTAGCAGGGGGCCTAGTAACAGATAAACAAAATTTATTATGTACACTTGTGGTTTGTGCAAAATCGTTGTTTAGTAGAGGCCTACCCTGCACCCTTTTATGTGTGAATTTTTTCACATTTGCCAGTTAAGTGCTGTAAGGGACATTCAAAGTTCAACTAATGATCTGAGGGAAGACAAAATGAATGCTCTTCTTTTGAAATACGCTGATTGGTTAATAGCCATGTAAGTTTCCAATAATTTGACTTTATCGACTTTTCAGTTGACCAATCAGTGACATGAGGCTGGAAAGCAGGACACAAAGTGTGCTATTTTGTGGTTTGTCTGAGTAGACAGGTGTCAAATAACTCAAGAAACTAACTATTTCAGCAAATTTAGACCTCTTGGATAGCAATAAGTGCAGTAAAAAGTTATCGAAATTTTGGATGCGTTCCAGCGTGCATAGGGATGTACTCAGAATGAACAAATAGGTGGACTGTTTACATTATTAACCGTGTACAAAATGATGCAGAGATAAAATGCTGATAATGAATATAATGTCCTTCTTCAAAGTCTGATTTGTTTTAATGCGTGTGCGCGTGTGGTTAAATAGCGGTTTTGGGTGATGGACATACTTATTCGTGGAAATGCAATATACAAACAATTGAGGTGTAGACGGTTGTTGCGGTGAAAATGACCTATTTTTTTGATCTCAAAGAGTTGCGTGATAAGAACGACGGCTTCAGTGGTAACATTGGTTGCAAATTTCCTTCCTCCGTAGGGCTGTATTCGGTTAGACGACGAGCCCGTTTCTTGCCTCTCTCGGTTTCTACGTTAATCTAAATCGTAAAAAAGAATACGTTTACCACTACTTGGGCTTACTACCCATATAAATACCGCATTTTTTAAATTTATTTGCCAGCTTGATCTTTATTGTCTTGACCAATCCTAGGGGCTCTGCTCGTGTAGGTGATCAAGGCTCTCCCTTGAGATGTGTTCACACAACTCACAAGCACCATTCATTGGCTACGAGTGCTTTCGATTTAATTTCGAATTCCAAGTATTGATTTTTGTGCATTTCGCCTACTGGACGAAAAGGGTCACGTAGACCTCCATTTACACAACAATATCGATTTAACTAGGCTCTAGGGGGTATCTTATAATCTACTAGTGTGCACAAGAAATTGTCAGCTTAACAGGAGATCCTTTCACTTCTTTAAATCATTTTGATCTCTTGAAAAAAAATAAAAAAATAGTGCTTCTTTGATTGACGATTAACGACGTACTCCCATTCTTTCTGCTTGTTCAGTGAAAACGGACATGCATTCAAAGAGGCAACCGAAGCATTCATTCTGAAAATAGAAACAATTATAAAGGTAGGAGAGATTCAGATATCAGATAAGCAAAGCTGAATTTTTGTTCAATTTTGTCATTAAGATAATTAATTTACCTGTACTTAAATGACCGTGACAAAAGTAACGGTGTTTAAGCTAGATTACCTTGACAATTTGCAGAAGAAATCGGTTTATGATCAACGATTTCGTTTTTCAAAATTCATTTACCAACGCACAAAGATTTAAATTAGCCGCGGGTATTTCTAGCTCTCATCCTACTGGCTCACTGAGACATTGAACTTTATTGGCTAATAAAGTCGAGCTGGCAAACGGAAATGTCTGCTTGATCTTAGGTTTATAATCGTTTCTACGTCGTTCTTGTGCGTGTCTTGAATATCGGTCAAAGTAATGCAAATTCGGGGAACGTAGATATAATTTAATATCCCTTGATCAAAACAAGCATCTTAGCATCGAAAGTAAAATGCAATGCACAAAGCAAACAAATGTGTGCTTATGAAAAGATTTTGCCAGCGACCGATTTTCTCAATTGAATGATTAATTATTTGATTAATTATACTCCAATCGAAGGTATCGCTATTAGTGTGATAGAGATCGGTATACTAATTGATTTTGGAGTTTAGGGTGCGGACACAATTAGTACTCCTGCGCAGTCGAAATCCTTGCACAGTACAAATGTTTTGCAGATCAGAAAATCACGGCGCCACGCACACGCACACACACGGACGCACGGACACGCGTCGTGCACTTGGGACCACCCAGGATATTTCAACAGCTGTGGCGTTCGTGTGTAGTTGATGCTGGGGCGGGAAGGTGATCGAAATGATTTCTATTGGGCGCGCAAAATGGCGATTATGCATGTTCGCCGACCGTGAAATGCCCTTCACTGACCGGTGTCATTGCAATCTTCACCAATACCACCGTTCACCGCCTCGGCGTTGTCACTGTACACAAAACACACACAGCACCCTCCGGCCAGTAATTACACGCCTTCTTTCAGACATTGGGAAAGAACATTGACAAAATTAGCCCGGCAATGAAATACACCAATGAGGTGGTAGTGACAAAGAACACACAAAAGCCGCGCGAGTTCATATACTAGTTTCGGCGGTTTAAAACAAACTTGGAGGGTGAAGGTCACAAGACTTATGCGCGTATCCGGCTAGAATAAATCCTTTGTATCAGAAGCATCATCTACAGAGTAGTTTACCTTGTTGGCTAAATACGCGTACAGACTGTGGTTGCACTTCCCGGCGCACTCACGTCGACATTCGGCAAAGACTTTGAATTTTGCTGCAGAAATGAAACAAAAAGTTAGTTCTGCGTTTACAAAAGTTTCATTGTCACTGTTTTGATCTAAAAGTTCATCATTTTTTTGTGAATTGTAAGAGTTTCCAGCCTTGTGTAGGTTAGGAATTACTCAAGGTTAAAGTAACCACATGGCATGTCACGAAATTAGCCCTGCACAGTATTTAATCAGCCGAAACATCCCAGACGTCTGGATGTTCGAAATTGTGTCAGATTGTAGAAATTGTCACGGTTTAGAAATTTCACGGATTAGGCAGACATGGGAATTAGTGTCAAATTGGCAAACTTGCCTGAGAAATCGATAATGTTTTATATTAGGTTTTAACTAAGGCTATTTAGCATAATGTCCTCCTAGACAAATAATTTTTTTAAGCACCAGAGAGGATAGTTGGGGATTTTGGTTATTCATTTTTAGACATGAGTTTCCATTCGGGTACTAAGCTTGTCTTCTGTTTTTACCGGATTATTAGTTAGCTTTTTTTCAAACAATGTGCTAAACTGCTTAGGAAATCGTAGCATTTCTATCGCGTTTAAAATTTGCGCTGTTTTTGCTTGAAATACCAAGTTGGCTCCCACTATCGCTTAACTGACCAATCAAATCTTACTTCTGTTCAGGCTAGGCGGCATCACAATATGATTGGCCAAATGGTGACCCGAGTACTCTGCTAAACGCAAGAATGAAGTAAACGGTTAATTCTTTAGAGTCCCACTTAGTTATGTGACGTTTTGGCAAAAGAAAGTGTTGCAGGGGTCTCCAGTGTCTCACAAAAAGTTCTAAATGTGCAAACAGCTGTTCTGGTTATCAACTCAGGTCTGAAATGAGATCTCGCGAATTCACACACAATGTGGAAGGAAAATCGGTCATCATACCTTGAAAATAAATTCAGTTTCAACATTAGCAACTTGATACAATAACTCAGTTGAGTGATTTCTTTTTCATTAATAAAGTTAGCCATGCTAGTGTATGTTTGGCCTTCAGACATCTGTGTACTACGAAAACCCACATGTAGACACGTTAATGAAGAATAAAACTGACCTTATGCTACTCTCAGACCATCCGAATTTGTTTATTCACTTGTCTAGGGAAAATATTTGAATCTATTTGATTTGACGTGAGCTTGGCTCAACCACTAATGATAAAATTAACAAAAAATATTAGCAGTGTTATTTGTTCTGACTGTAAACATGACGAAGCAGGCACAATTTTACCTTCAGCCAATCAAATACCTTTGTGCAGATTAAAAATTTCACACCAAACTAAATTTTGCGACGGCTTGTCTTTTAAATCATAAGTTCAGGTATTTCCATGTAATTTTCAAGCAAAGTATTCCTTTGCACTGTACTTAAAGGTTACAAACGCGTGTTCGTAATTTTTAAATTTAAACATTATTGTTCACAAATTAATCATGCAAATAATTATAACCCACAAAAGATGTACAAACCAGTGTTTGCGCCAATGCTCAGCCACCTAAAAATCGATTTTTGTATCGATTTTGTGACTGTCTGCATCTCACAGCACATTGGCGCCATTGTCGGCATATCGGTTTCGATTGCTGGCCATGCATTAGCGGGGATATTTAAAAATTGTAAATTGTCCCAAAAGGTCGTTGTAGTAATTGGAATCGTGGTTTAGATTGAAAACAAATGTCAGAATATCATTGGCTGCACTCACTGGACAGGTGTCGAGGCATCTTGTAGACTAATTGAGACTGGTCGGACTGGTAGCCTGTTGAGGCAAGCGGGAAAGCAGTTGAAGAGGGTAGCAGTATTACCAATCCAACCAAGAAGCAAGTAGCAAAAGCTGTGGTTGATTTAACTTCCATGATTAGCTAATACGGTCGTAGCCGCCTTCTGACATGTTTATATACGCGCGCACCCCAGGCGTCGGCTGAATCAGCCAATCAGCACGGTGCCTGATATTGGAGGGGTTTCGCACACTAGCACATCCACACGAACACCCCAGCAAATTAATTGTTGCCCAAACAATGCTTTAGTATTTAACACAACATTTTTTTGTGGTGAATAGACTGATAAAATACGAAGGAGACTGTCTTGATCTTTGTCTGAAAATTTAAGACGCCGTCTGATTCTTACACCTTCTGAAAATCGATTCTAACATTGATTTTTTATTCGTATTAGTCTGATCGATAAACTAAATCCCCTCATTTTGCGTCATACACAAACAATGGATACAGCCACCAAAAACTGCACTTTTAAATCTACCTCCAGCACACAGCTGGTAAGAACTTATACAGGCGGAAAGCTCCCATTTCCTTTGCTTCTTGATTGGCTAGAGGACCTTGTAATGGACGAATCACGTAATTACCTCAACAAATTGTTGAATGAATGAGTGGAAAATGCCCAAAAGAATCAACAAATCAAGCTAAATTTCTCAGGAGAGTTGTGTGCCTGCCCGACTCCGATGTCGTGTGAACACAACTCACTTGCCACCCACATTGACCGTGGTTTGGTCGTAAGCCTGCTTACTACCCGCACCAACCAATCCCCGTGCGCCCTCCTAAATGTCGGACGTAGGACATGTTGGCTGTGAGTGTCTGCTTCTGGGTTAGGCACTGGTTTTTCTTGACCACTTAAGTTGGCTTTATGACCAACGACAACTTGGGTTTCAGTCAGACTCGGCAATCAGCTGACGCCTTTGTGGTCTAGTACTCAGACCGCCTCAGTCCTGATTATCGGTTAGGTGGAATTTAGTGGTCTAGAGGTGCGATTGAGGGTGTAAGTGAGACCGTTTCTTCAATATAACTCTACCACTACTCCGATGTGTGCTGTGGGGAGGGGCAGCCGGCGAGAAAACGACAATTCCACTTTTCCACAACTTGTTTTCTTGGGGTCTGCGGAGATGTCATTTTGCCGTGAGAGTATAGGTCAATTTCACACCATTTGTGAATCCCGTGTATAGGCGATTATGAGTAAAACTTGTAGCCAAACAATGTTAAAGAGAAACTGGGTGAGAAGAATGCAAATTTTGCTAGTGAATTTGTTTTTCTAAGTATCTGATTTGCACACTACTACTAAAAATCTCCCGTTTGGTGACTAGTCTGTAACTTCTACCTTGCTCAGGGCGTAAAATGATACCTTGTTAATTTGTGAATTGCTGATCATGTTCACTAATATCACTGTGTGCCACTGAAGGCTACGTAGGGACTCCTAGTCGATGTTTGTTAGATCTTAGCAGATTTATCCGGCTCACTGGTTCCTACGCACCGTCAATCATGACTTCTCGGATAAGCTTTTGTACAATGCGGTTGCTAATCAACTCAAGATGACTAGCAGCAGTTCAATCATAACTGCATAACTGTTGGAAACACTTCGAATTCCCACAAGATGGCGAATTCTTTACATGGTTTTTGTTTCCTGTAATTTTTAGGTTTGTAGCTTTGTTCGGACAGACGCAGTTTCAGAACACCGAACGACAAGTCCACGCGAGTTACATTACCTCTCATAGTAGAGGGGTTTACGATGACAAATGGCAAGCACAACATTCAACGCCACTGCATGCAATACGAATTCCAACAACGGAAATTGCGTCTACAGCACTGGAATCAACTCACTGTGCCCGTGGTGTCAATGGTATGTCTTATGAAACGTGTGATTGTTGGTACAAACGTTTTAGAAGTGGCAGTTTTGATCTTAGCGACCAGCGGCACCGCGGACAGCCTTTGTAAGGAGTTATTGCGTCTAGCCTACAAACGCACTCTTTGCTATCTTGCGTGGGAAAATGAGCTAAATTGTACTTAACGGGGATACTAAATAACTGGAAGAGTTTTACTCAGGGAGGTTTTTGTATGACCTTGAGTTGATCTTGGGAGTAGTTACGTGACTGAATCATTCCTGTAAGTTTCGAAATGAAAATCGATCGTCAATAACTGATGAGATAATCTGTCAGACCTGATTGGTGACAATAACGTGACAAAGTTGACACATATGGGGGAGTAAGGAGAAACCTCGACGGCTTCCTCCTTAATCCTTCTGAGTGTGATCCCAGGGAACTCCTATCGTGTTAAGCGCAAAACAGCCCCCTCATTAACTGGACGTCAACTGAGCCAAAGCACGCTAACTGATTGTCCCAGGAGGATGGTTAAGACCGTTAGAAGAAACACCTCTTGAGGTGTTGGTTGACAGTTTGCGTTACCAATTTTCGCATTTTGGCAACCTTCATCATAACAGCCTTGGTGCTAGAGCTACTGATTTTTCCGATGAATGATTGGGTCTAATTAGCAGGGGTTTGTAATTCGACCTTATCAATTCTGCCACACGTGCCTAGGTCTTGAGGCGTTCGCTGGCGTGACATTTGAAGACACTTGTAAAAGGTTTCATTTGCGTGTTCAGCAGATCGCATTGCTTTACACTTAGAGGTTACAGCTACGTAGTATCCCATGGGATTTTTTTTGCCACCACATGCCTTTAACAGGTGACCAGGTCAGCACGATTCGGTGGCCCTTCGACTGTGCACTTTTTGGGGACCATGTAGTTGTGCTTTGATAAATTTGTTCTTTTAAAAGCGTGTGCGTTTGCGATTACGAAATCGTCTTGCAAACTGTGAGTTGCTGATGACTCACCGGCATACGGAGTGAAAAGTAGACTAAAGAGTATTCGAAGACCCCTCAATCACCTTGTTCACGAAGTGAGTTCCAACTCCATCGCCTCTGGAATTAAAACTTCCTGGTTGATTGCTCAGTTCGTTAGCAGTGGCCTCAAACATCACCCTCTAAGCAACAAAAATCATGTGAAGTTGAAAGGCGAGAGACATGGAATGAGTCTGTTGTCTTGGCTACCGTAGACGCAGCAGAGGAGACAGTAGAGGTCCACCTCTGAGTTAATCTAGTCATGCGAATGTTTGCATTGACTCAAGACTCCTTGGCGATTTGACAGACAATCCAACTGTCATGCTAACCTGTAGGTAAATTGTCTAGTGAATGACGACATTTCAGAGTTATTTGCAATGACCTTTCAAGGTAACCACCGCTCGCCAAATGAGATATTACCCCATGTCGCTTATAAAATGCCACCGAATGAGGAAAAACGTTAACCTATTTACGCTAATGTGGCAGTTATGTTTGTACCCTTGCCCAAAATCCGCCTCAATTCTGGGTTTTTAAATGTTTTGCGTTGTCATTTTCGATCCCTGTGATTTGACAGCCTGGATTCGTGCTAGCCAACACCAATTACAAGTCAAAGAAAACTAACCACGGACGAAATTTTGTGGAAGTCAGTTTTTCCAGGAGACTATCAACCTCCGAACCAACCCGAGTGGAATGCTAACTCACCGTAGTCAGTTGGTCGCGTTGTCTTTGTGCTTCAACTAATGGATGCGTTGGTTGCAAAAAGGAGGCACACGCAATGGGCCTTATTTTGCTTGTTGCCTGGCTTTCATGGTGGTCCTGTCGGTGTTTAATCCGGTGTAGTACATGGGTGCTTCTCTGGAAGCAAAATAACGCCTTTTTGCCGTGTTTGATGGCTAAATTCTTCGCCATAATAGAGCCATATTGCGGAATAACCCTGTTTTATGCTTACTGGTAACGTGCTCCCGCATGTCTACCGATTAAATGGCTGCTAAACATGATTTGAGTTAGTTTGTCAAAAACTATTGACAACCCGATTCAGTGAAGCTTTGAATTACAGGCAGACCATGGTTTAGCAAGCCGTTCGTTTCAGCCAAAAGGTCAGATGAGATGCAAAATTCACTGATACAAACGTTCATGTTCTAATATGCAGAGGACAGAAAAAAATATTAATTAATTTAGGGAATTCAAGTCGAGACTGGTCGTGTAAATCAAACATGCACTAAAACAAAATCCTGGCGGAGTATTTGAATAAATGCCGAGGATGTTCTGTTGAAGGACCTCTTAAAAATCGCGGGTGATAGTAACAAGTCAGTGTATAGGTGTACCCCTGCAGGAGATTCACAGTTTGGGTCGCCATTAAAAGTTGAAGCTCCACCACCACCACCACCACCACCACCACCACCACCACCACCACCACCACCACCACCACCACCACCACCACCACCACCAC